AGAGGTCCCTTCCAATCCCTACCATTCTGTGATTCTGTAAATACTGGAGGTGGCACTTGCCTCATTCTTAAAATAAACTGCTAGAGGAAGAAATTAAACCCATTTGATTTCCACCTTCCTATCAAACAGGCAGGCATGTCTAAACACCTTTGGAAACATTCCAAGATAGAACAGAACGGAATTTGCTTGGACTTGTTTGGCCAGCTGGTGTTTTCCTCGAGGGGCAGCTTTGTCCACCCGGGAGGAAGGTTGTCCACATGGCTCCACTTTCCAGCGCCTCAGCCCTCGGAGGTGCCAGGGGATGCGAACGTGAATCCAGCCATCGCAGTGTGAGACTTCATGGATCCGGCACCTCAAGACCGTGCTTTCTTGGTGGGAAAGATGGGGGAATTTACGCTGGGTTTATGCAACTCCGTAGCTTGTGACAGATACGTTGAAGTAATCTTCGTACCTTCTGTGCTTGTACTTTGTGGGCTCTGGCTTATAGAAGGCTTGTGATTTAACAGTAGTCAATAAATATTTATTTGTGGCTCAGGAATATGTCTTGCATGTAACACGGGAAGATATTTTTCAGTTGTAAATTCAAGACTGACTCAGTATTGAATCGGTCAGTAGAAACTAGTTAGGGAAGTGAGAAATAAGATCTGGGTGGTGAATAGGGTAGCTTTCCTCCAGTATAAATTCTCAGCTATGGGCAGCCAGTGATTTAGGAATTGCTTGGAGCAGAGGCGGCATCCAGACCATCTCATGAATGGCCACAGAGGAACTTCAGATGATCAGCAACCCCACCGGCTCCTCGCGCCCAGGGGCACTCTCCAGCCTCTCCTTCCGGGCAGGACCCAGCAACAGGGCCAAAGGTGTCAAGTACACGAAGTGCCCATACAAATTTTGGGGAAGTTAATGGCTGGGTAGAGGAGATAAGCCCGAACTGAGCTCTGGAGTGACCACAGCACAAGCTCAGCAGTTTGACCTTGCTGGCTCACAGGCAGGACCACGCGTAGCACAAGATCAGCTGAAGCCTGGCCTTCAAGGACCAGGTCTTCACAAAAGCCTCTGCCTGAACCGAATGCTTGAAAAAGGCTGCTGCCAGATGTTTCTGGTTTCAGAAATAAGTAGCACCACAGAGGGCTCTGCTGCTCCGTGAAGCTGGTTGGGGACTGCTGGGCTCCTGGCTCTGAGCTCTGCCCGAGGGACTGAGCTGGCAGCCCTCAACGGCGTTAGTCTAGAGCTGTGACTTGTTGTGGAGGGAGAAAAGGCGCACAAATCCATTTTCTTCCTCAGCCGAGCTAATTCCCGCATTTTCCTGTTTCCCATTTGATATCCAGGTTTTATTTGTCTTTCTCCAGCATTGTTTCCTTCGCTTATCTGCAGCGCTGCAGCCTTGAATAACTCGGTGTCCTTCATAGAGATGTTAAGTAGAGGTTGCTTTCCCAATTACTGATTTAACGAACAACAACTGGAGAAATATTTGATAGCTGATTCATTGGAAAGCAAGAGCGTATCTTGGGGACAGAGAACATATTATGCATTAGCAGTGCACTCCCTTTGGCCCAACATGCCTTCTTGTGCCTCCGGGTCTTTGTTGTCAAACCCCTGGGGTAGAGCGGTGGCAGCGAATGGGCACCATAATTAGGCCAGACAAGGTGGGAAGGGAAAGAAAGTGTCAAATGGCAGGAGAGAAATGGAGTGTGTGTGTCCTGAGCTGGGTGGGAGGGAAGCTGGAGTTGAGCTAGGACTGATAATTTGCATTCAGAGTCGAGAAATTATTTTTAACCCATTTTTTTTTTTCTGTTCAATTTTCTATTGCTATTAGAAGCCAAAATGACCATCAGTGGGCACCGCTGGTCATCAGCTTTATGGATTGGTGTCAGCTTCAGCTCTGGGAATAATGTATTTTAGGTGCTGTGGTGACTGCAAGAAGGCACTAGCAATTGTGATTCAACACAGTGAAGAAGTAAATAGAAGCGGGTGATTGTGGTGCTGTTTAAAGCAGACACTGATAAAGAAGTCTGAAGGTGACCCACAGAGGTCCCTTCCAACCCCTACTATTCTGTGATTCTGTGATTCTGTGTGAATTCTGCTCCTCTCTGCCTTGTGTTCCTCGGAGCTGGGGGAAGCTAGTGCACCTTCTTGTGATCCTGTGGTTCAGCTCCTCTGAAGCAACCCCAGACCCTCCTGACATGTACCCTTGCATTTGGTACCCACGGAAGATGGTCGTTGTCTTTACCACGGAATAGGATGGCTAGATTTTAATAATGGGACTTTTGAATTTCAGCTTCTGGCTAGGCCGGTGGTAACTGGTGTCACAGTCTGTAGCTGTGCGAAAGCCAGGCAGGTTGTAACGCTTGGCCCCGCGTCATTGACCGGGCTCCGCTCCTCTACTCAAAAGTCTTCTTCAACATTTCTATATTTAGATCCCTCCAGGAAAGAGAAGTCAGTTTGCTCTCCCAAGCTGAGAAATTGCCCACAACAATTAGAAAGTACTGCAACCATTCAGTGATTCTGGTTGCATCTGTTTCTGAGCATGAGGAAGCTTCTCCCAACGGCTGCAGGAGGACTCTGCAGCGGCTGACGAGGCAGCCGTGGGGCAGGGCAGGGAAGCACAGATGTCTGCCTGGGTGACTGAGCAGACCTAATGCTACGCTGCTGTTAGCCTGATGTCCTTCTTTGAGATCACCAGCGGAAAGCATGAGCTGATTCACCCTCTTAGGGTGGAGCTCAATCTGAAACTCCGCTTGCCCGAGGAGGCTCGGGTCTCTCCGTGGCAGGGACGGTGGCTGCGGCTGATGGCGGCATCTCAAGATGCTTGCGTTGGCTCTGCGGATCCCAGTTGTTTTGAATAGCGTGTGGCAATTCGATTTCTCCTCAAAGAGCGAGCCAACGTACTCAAGTGAAGGGCATTAACCGAGCTCAAGTGAGAGACATTAATTTCAACATAGAGCGTGTCTCACATTTCCAGCTCTGACTGTTGAGACCTTGTGTGCAAAAGTATCATTTCAAGTTTAGATGTGGTCTCGGAAGGGATAGAATGGCTGCATTAGTGGGCCATTTGGGGCTAGTTTTCTTCACGCAAAATGTGACGGATTGAACAGCTTTTTCTCAGTTATAAACGCTTGGGATTGAACACAGCAGTCTGTGCGTGTGTGCGATACGTGTTTGTCTATTTACACACAGCCACGCTGTGGTAGACGTGCAAATATATACATTCACACTATTCTATACTTACGTATTAGCAATATGGGGTATGTCTTAAGTACTAGCTATGCTGAAGAGAGCTGCATACAGTAGAGCTGACCTTGGAAAAGATACCAAGGGTAATAATACACCCTGTGGGCAGTGTTTGTGCACTTGCTGGGCATATCAGAAGCACAAACGGTGTGTAAAGACGGAAGAACAGTGGCTTGGAATAATTTCTTTGAAATGCAAAATGTGTCAAACGTTAACCTAAGTTGCTCTTTTTATGAATAAGAATCTCAAAAGGAAAGGGGAAAGTTAGTGGCGGATTAAGTTGGATTTTTTTAGTTGATATTTGTTTAATTTTGTGTTATTACAGAAACTGGAACACAAAGAAGTTTTGGTTGGCTTGTTGTTCCTGGTTTTCCCATTCATCCCAGCCAGCAACCTCTTCTTCAGGGTGGGATTTGTGGTGGCAGAGCGAGTCCTTTACATGCCGAGGTAACTATTGCAATTGAATTCCTTTCTAATGAGACCACCGTCCCGTTTTCTAAAAGCAGGCATGATTGCTGCTTCCCTTTTACAATACTTCAGACATTATATTGCTAGTCAGTGTGTTCTCTGCCTTTGAGTTTTGGCGTGGTAGCATGAGAGGTTTTATAGTCAGTTGAGAGCAGATGGCTTGGCAGGAGCAAAGCTACCCAAAATTCTTCTTTTTTTTTTTAACACAGTTTTTTTGGTGTGCTTGAAACTGCTCAATACAGAGATGAGATGTTGTTTCTTGAGCATTGTCCTCCAAGACTTTTTTTCCTGGTAGCATTGTCAACTTCAGTTGTCCAATGCCCTTTACCTGAAGGACAGCAGCTGAAAAGTTAATCTGTCATGCTTTTACTGTGGTGATGCTCAGCTTTCTCACTACATTAGGTGGTCAGTAGAAACCAAGGTGACTGTTGTCATCTTAAAAGGCTGCTGGCTTCAGTTGTGGAATATGTGCATGACCTCCTGCCTGTAAGCGATTGACTGCATATGCATTGAAGAGTAGAGGGTTTGCAGTTGGGATTTCCCTCAGCTTCCAGCCTCTGACACTTGTCCCTCCAGCAGTCTGCGTGCTTCCAATTGCGTTTACACAAGGACAACTTTGAGGTCTTACTTCTGACATCTCCACAGTACCTAGATCAGAGGCTGCAGTGGCAGTCAGAGGACATTCATCCAAGATACACCAGACCATTGTCCCTTTCACAGAATCATAGGATGGTTGAGGTTGGAAAGGACCTCTGGGGATCACCTGGTCCAAACTCCTTGCTCAAGCAGGGCCGTCTACAGCCAGTTGCCTGGGACCATGTGCAGGCAGGTTGTGAGTATCTCCAGGGAGCAGACTTCACAACCTCTGGGTCAACCTGTGCCAATACAGTTTGTTCCAGACATGAGCATAAATGGTCGTTCTTGGATGCTGCAAGTCAGAAAGCCCAATTCTGCCCTTGGGTGCAGAGGATCAGCGTCCGTTACCTCTAATAGGAACTGCCGTTGTGGAGCTGTTGACAAAGCACAAGTTCTCAATTTCACTCTGGATTACTTTGTGATAAGCGAAACGATAGTTTTATTCCACAAAATCTTTAAATTGTGTTCCTCAGAAAATGTGGATCCGAAAATCCTACGAAAAATGCTTATAGGTGGTCTTTTGCAAAGCTGTATGCGTATTCTGATCGTCATTTGTATAAGCACTATCACAGAAGGGCTGCCTGTTGGTGTAAATCTCAGGCTGTGCAGGAGCTGTTGCATTTCTTAGAAGCTTCTTATCCGGTTAGGCTGCATCTCTGTGCTCTGCAATACACTGACTTGCTTTTTGGATCAAATCCTGCTGACTTTGTTCATATCACTAGCCCTGCTTTTGTTTGCTGAGAGTACACCTGAAAGTATAGCGAGTGAAAGTCGTCCCTCGGAGTTATTTTGCAAATGATACCCTCAACTAATGGATCTTGCATCGTTGCAAATTAACTTGGAAATCAGATTGCTTTAAATTCATGTAACAGAAAATGAGGAAACACATGAAAGCGCAAAGCTATTAAGGAAACAGTCAGCTGAGCACAGGGCTGTGGTGAGAGGTTGCGTTGCTGAATCTCAAAAGAACAACTGCGGAAAATACTTCAGCCGTCAGCAGTTCCTCGTCCTCCTCCAGATGAGACTGCTGACATAATGAGAGGAGGGGCAATGGAGAAGAAAAAAGGGTATGTTTGCACAGAGAAAATTAATCAGCGTGAACATGTGTGCATAAAGTTTGTAGAATGCTTTTCATCTCCCTGAGGGCTTTGCAAATATATGACCTACAAAGCAGGTAATTGATAGTTGCTGCTTTTTTTTCAGGCAGTAAAACTGAGGCAGAAGGATTAAATGATTTCTCCAGAGGAAGTCTGTGTCGGAGTCGCTGGCTCTCATACTTTGCTCAGATCACTCATGTCCTGCTTTGCGATATTTGGTTTTTGCTCTTACCCCAGGCTGGCAGGCAGCTGCCGTGAAGAGCGAAGGCAAAGCCTGGCAGTTTGTGAGAGAGGTGGGCAGTGTCCGGCCAAAGGATCCAGAGGGAGCTGAGCTCTTGGCTCCGAGTTGCCAAGAAATGAGCTCTCTTACATCCTCTGGGTGCAAAATGCCGTGAGCAGGGAGGGGGACTGCTGTGAACATGCACAACTATGGCAGAATAAAAATAATGTGGGTGGCTTTTTGTTTTTTCCCTTGAGAGCGTGGCAGTTTAATAATGATGGCTCTAGGAAGGGCTCACGTTCTTTATTTAGAACAGCCTTTAGCAGTTTTTTGACATTACATCTCGAAAAGGGCTTTTCCTATCCTTTGAAGTTCCTTCTCTGAAACGCAGTTAGCAAGCCAGAGGTTGTCATTCAGCTTTAGTCAGACAAAAGTCGGGAATCGGACGCGGAGAACTCGGTGATCTGTGGTTTGGGGCTTGTGCTGGAAGGTGCATTTCTAGCTCTTGTTTCAAGAAATAGCCTTTTATTAATAATTATGAAAGTGAGAGTTGCATGTGTGTGTCACAGCCTGAAGTCCTCATTTGGTGTTGCTCGATAGTTACCTAGGAAAAATGTCAAGCATTTCTTTTTAATAAAAGTGAAGTAAGGACCTAAGGATTTATGTAAAAGATGTTGTAAACAGAAAGGAACAAGGAATAAGACTTTTGCTTGGTATCTAATTATGTGGCTGGGCCTTGCCTTCTGGGGATTGATGGGTATTGGGAACAATTCCTCTTCTGTGTGCGGCCGTGCCTCGGGGGAGAGGGATGTGGGCTAAGTCACAGTGGTTGAACGTTTTCTTTAATTGGCTTTAGCAAAACAGAAATATTCGGAGAAAATATTGTTTGTATTTAGTTTTCATTTGAGGGTTAGAAGCACATATTTGTGTACATCAGGAATTTTTAAGAATAATATTACTTTAGCCTGAAAAATGTCATATGAAAGAAATTTATTTCAACTTGTAAATTTGTTGTTGTTTTCTTATCTTTAAGAGGGGAAAACTTGTTTTCAGGAGGGCTAGGGGTGTGAGATACGTATGCTGGGAGCGGTGAACAGGATACAGCTCCACAGGCCACGGTTTTCCAAAGAGGCATCACGATGAACAGCTGGATCAGTGGAAGATTTAAACCACGACAGGTTCTTCCCCCTGCAGAGTGTCGATGTGGTGATGCTTACAGTGTATCTGCTGGCGCTGCTCAGAACAGCACCGACAGCCCAACGGTTTGAAAATCCAGAGTGACTGTGCCTCCAGTTATTCCGAGCTGTGAGCAGTCTGCCCGTACTCAAACAGGAGCACTAGCTCTTCCTCCGTGTTGCCCTTCACCCTGCAGAAAATGGAGAGGTGAGACAAACTCTTTGGGCCATCCTGAAGCTGACTAGCTCTTCCTCCGTGTTGCCCTTCACCATGCAGAAAATGGAGAGGTGACACAAACTCTTTGGGCCATCCTGGAGCTACCTGCCCTACTGAGGTACCAGCAGAGCTGGGGTTGCTTTCGCCTCGTGGGATCAGACCTTTCCTACCTGAGCAATTTCTGTGTTTTCCTCATCTTTCACTGCTGCCCTGGTAGCAGTGGCTCCTGGCTGGGCTGCTGTATCGTAGCTGGACAACTTAAGCTGTTTTCACAACCTGATATCAACCAACAAATCAACTAAAACATTGCTATGTGGTTTATTTCCAATTTGCTGAGAGCAATGGGCAAGCCACTGGTACCTGCACCGTTTTTATGGCAACTCATTCGTGGTGGATATTGCAATGAGTGGGTGCAGAGTACCCAGCACGGGCAATTACGGGCTGATGTCATTTTTTTTCACCAGCTCCTCGCTATATCAGGAGCTGATGTTGCAACACTAATTATCAATACTAGAAGATGAGATCATGGCTAGATACAGGATGGCATTTGCTTCAGCGTCTGTCTCAAAATCTGCGAGAAAGCCAGCATCCAGGAAAAAGTGCGCTTCTATTTTTCAGGAACTTAACGTGTCACGTTAAAGCTTTCTCCGTGCATAGAGCGTGCTCTTGATTCTTTGTGCTAATGCATTCCTTCCAATTAGTGTATTTCCATACGTTATTAACTTTTGAACCTGGTAGGGAGTGGAATTGTCTGTCATTTTTATGAACGTGAGCAGAAGTCGCCTTTGCTTACAAGGCAGCCACTTGAGGATGGAACTTACTGGTGCTTCTCTTTTGTGAAAGCAGATTATGCTCTTCGCATTATCTTCATTTTCTTATAGACCAGTAGTGTAATGGGGCAGTGGTGTATTTCCAGTTTCCTTTGCCACCCCTTTCTTTAACGTTGTTTGAAGCTACATGTTTAACAGGAGCTGAAGTCCTGGTTACCTGTTCAGAATTCCTTCAGTATTAGGTCAGATCCCAGTAAGGGATCATCTGGTTTCCAGAAGCAGCTTCTCTTTTTCAGCTGGAGTCAAATCCTGACCCCAGCAGTGTCAGCGGAGGAAGTCCCATTGATTCCATGGAGCCAGTTTATCTGCTCCCCAATCTCAATTCCACGACATAATTAAGCTTTTTGCCTGCTTTGAAGTTAAATCCACAGTTCATTTGGGATTCGGAGATGGAATCCAAGTCACACCTGTTCCATTTACTTAAAAAAACCAGGATTTAATGCCTTGCTCTGTTGCTCCTGTTCTTGTGAGGGCCACAGGGCAGCCGAAGTGTAGAAGGAGCGAACTGGATTATATTCCCTGTAATTCAGCCATGGACCTGAGGGCACTGGAAGGGGACTGGGAGGGCATTATATGATGACAGTGGGCCTGACCCCAGCCCTGGTCTGGTCCCTTTCTACCTGTGCCTGCTCCAGGACATTGATTGCAGCAGCGGTCTGCAAGATGGCTGGTGGCTAGAGGCGAGGTGGCATGGACCTCGGCTGAGGTGAGCAACTCCAGTTCTGCTTCCCCATCCTTTAAAACAGGGAGAACAACTCCACTCTGCCCTGTGGAAGGAGACAGAAAGAGTTCTTGCTGATTAAT